AGGAAAATCTTCTTGAGATTACTCGTAAATTTTCAAATATTCTTATCGTAAAATATAATGTGCAAGGCACATTTATAAACTATTGAGTATAAGATTAAGGGCCTTTTGTTAGGTAAAACGCTGGTAACACCCCCATCAAAGAGGTCATTTACTTACGTGATTGTACTAAGACCCTGTTTGATATGCATTATTGTAAAATAAGAATGAAAAATATAGTCGTTATTGGGCCCCACACAAGATATAGAAATTCAAAATTAATGGCTTGATGTGATGGATAACGGTCATATTTTTTATTTTTATGGATGAAAAATAATAAACAAATGGGGGACTATATAGTCAATTAATTCGTTCATTGGGAGGTTCTGGATAGAAGTGTGTTGGATAGATATTTCCATTCCGAAATCTTCTCCATCTTGTTGTTAGTGCTTTCTTTGAATTTCTTTGTAGGCAGGTTGAATTTAATGAAGCTCGACCGAAGGGAAAGGGTTAAATACTAAATAGCCTGACCTAGCGGGGAGAGGATGGTTGGAATGAAGGATAGAGGAAAAAATATCATTTAAAACTAAAAATAGTTATTCTTAACCATTGGCAACTTATAAAAAATGAAAAGAATTAAACTTAGAAGATGATATTGACGGATACTTGTCGATGTTCGATGACTGAAACTCTTGTCGACAATTGCTTATGACATCATTGACAATATTGTCTTCGATTACTGTTGAGATGGTATGTCAGTGATTACTGAGAGTATTGTTGTTTGTATTTTCATCTGAATGATCAATAGATTTGATTTAGTGATCATTTGCTTAATCAATTTTTTAATGTTCTTTTGAAAAAAAAAAAAAACTAGTTGTAATTTGTCAGTTGATTGAGCTGCCTGAAAATAAAATTACATTTACAAGAGAATGCTTTAAAAAAAAAAAAAAAAAAAAACTTTATACCTTTAGCTGTTTAGCATGTGTTTTGGAAGGTGTTCATTGTGCAACTTCAAACTTTCGAAGGATCTCATAAAAATAATCTTCGATAAAAGTAACAAAAATAAAATTTAAACCCAGAAAAGGGACAATTTTGAAAACATGAACATGGATGGCGGAGCAGCCGGCGATTCTAGCGCCACCTCCGCCGTGTCACAGCTAACCCACGCCATGTGGCAGCGGTACCAATATTTCTTGGACAAATCAACGCCGCTAGTGCTGTACCGTTGGATCTTCCTGTTGGTGATTGCACTCATCTACGCCATGCGTATGTACGTTGTTCAGGGGTACTACATCGTCACGTACGGGCTGGGAATCTACATCCTGCAGCTGCTGATTGCGTTCCTTTCGCCCCAGATAGACCCCGAGATCCAAGAGGTGACCGATGGGCCCGCCCTTCCGACCCGAGGCTCCGACGAGTTCCGGCCCTTCGTCCGTCGCCTCCCTGAGTTCAAGTTCTGGTGAGATTCTTAATTCCTTGATCTATTAATTCCTATATGCCACATAGATTGAAGGGTGAAAGTTAGCTCCTATTTGATTTTGCTAAAAATTATTTTTTTTACTAGATTTTGATAAAAGTTATGAAATGTGTGGTTGAAAAATTGATAAAAATTGTAGCTCTCATGAAATTTATGGTTCAAAATGAGTTTAAAAAATGGTTGAATATCCAATATTGGAATTTTATTTGTGTGATTTCTTATGGTTGGAGTGTTTCTTGTGTGACTAAAAATGGGTAACTTCGGGTGTTCTGGAACTTCACCATGAAGTCAATTTTGATATGTTTTTAAATTGAGAAGGCATTTGGCGCATATAAATGGAGTTGAGAGCCATCTCTTGCTATTTTTTTTTTTTTTTATAACCGCGGATGTCTGGGCTAGCTTGCACGCACCTCGACTAATTCCACGAGTCCGTGAAGTTTACGGTCGGGTACTCACATCAGTGGCCCTGAGGGGATTCGAACTGGTGACAATTGGGGAGCAAACCCAAAGCTTGACCAATTGAGCAACCCGAGGATTGCCTTGCAAAAAGGTATATATACGAACAAAATCTTCTCATCTCAGAAATCCTAAAAAGTTTCATAAGCTGGAACTTGAAAACCTCTGAATTCACTAAATACTAGGGTTTATAATTTTAAAGATGTGGACGCCGGCGAACATTCCTAGTTCCGACTCCGAAGTCGAGAGCATTACAATTTCTATTTCTAACGTGTCTCATGATGCACTAACCGCCAGCACTACCGCCAATCCGTCAAGTCCTCCACTCGTTTGCCTAGTTCGTTTCGCCGGTGACTCAGCCTCCGGCGCGTTCATGGGATCCATTTTCGGCTACGGTAACCTAATTTTTGGTTGTTTTACTATTTTATTTTATTTTTTTTCTTTTCTTTTCTTGGTAAATTATATATGTGTTGGTTTAAGCTGGGGTATTGTGACAATTGTTGCGACAATTCAACGGCTCCGTTTGGCACTAATGGAATGTATGGCCGGGTGGATAATGTTTGTTAAGACAAAGTAAAAATTTTGTTTATTATGTTGTCTAATACTGAGAAACATGTAATAACAGTTCAATTGCTAAACGCGGAGATTTTTATTAGACCTATGATCATATTGACTAAAACTTCATTATCAACTCAAAAAATCATGTTTAATAAACTATTCATACGATTCTTCTAGTTGGCCTACTAAGATTTTAAGAAAAAAATTCTTGCATTCTGAGTTTGCAATGAACAATTCATAATATGTGTCTCAGGTTCAGGATTAATTAAAATGAAAGGTTTGAAAGGATCATTTGCTGATGCACGGTCTTCTGCTAAGGTATGGGTACTTCAACTGTTGGTCAACTGGCTAACTTTTTCATCCATAACTTTATGGCACGGACCTTTTATCTCAAGTCTTTTTTATATTACTTTCCTTCCAGAGATTGGCAGTTTTGTCTGGAGTTCGTAGGTTAGTTGTATGCCTTTTGACGAGGTTGCGGGGAAAAGATGATGGTAATTAGACATCTTCAATTGGAATTAACTTCTTTGAATGATCATTCAATTTAATGTGACTTCTCTTCTTTCTCTACAGTCATCAATGCAGGAGTTGCGGGATGTTGCACAGGTCTTGCTCTAAGTTTTCCAGGTATCTCGAACTCTCCTCTCCCCCTCCTTTTTGAATTTTTGATATATGCGCCCTTGCGTAAATTTTATATAACCAATTTAGAGAATGACTTAATATGTTTCAGAATTCTCAAGCTCCTTTGCATCTTAAAGTGTCTTGAGGTCAACCCTTTACTTTCAACAACGCCATCACGACTTTCTTAAAATCATTTATTACTGTTCAAAATAATACCGAATTCTGACTTGGATTTCCTGCTTTATTTCAAAATAAATTTGCGAGCCTCCAAATCTCAAATCCGTCCTCATTATTTCCTTTTGTCTGGCCTTCCAAATTGACCTCGAGATTTGGTCGACTATTATGGTGTGCTTCTGGTGTTAAATTGCATCACTTCTTCCAAGGTGGTGAGTTATTGAGTTTGTTCATGCATGTATATATGTGCGTCTGAGGGTGGGGGCATTGCAGCATCTCGACAGTGTTCAATCCGTTGATATGAAAATTTACCTTATTTTGCTATTTTATCTTTCCAGGTGCCCCACAAGCTCTACTTCAAAGCTGTCTCAAATTTGGAGCGTTCTCGTTTATTATTGAAAGTATGAACAAGCAGCAGCCTGCACTTGCTTTGCCAGCTTCCTCGGGTGTCAAAAGAAGTCCCTTCGATGTGCTGACTCCTTTGTCAATCCCCCTTCCTAACGAACTTAAGGAGTCTTTTTCATCTTTTTGCCAAACCCTGAGAAAATGAGGCAATCTTTAATCTTCGATGTATTTTTTAACTTAAAGTAACAATTGAATTCTCAAAATGTTTTACAAAGTAGTAGTGAATTCCTTATGTAAGCTGAATTACCGAGGTCCAAGTGTCCTCTTCTACCATTGTCACATCTAAATATTAATTATAATTACCTCGAATTAATTTATGTGCCTGTAGAGTATCGTTTCTTTTGTGAAAGATTTGCACTTAAGGATAAAAGCAATAAAAATTTCTTCAGGCTTCGAACAATTTTTCTTTAGTTTATCCTCAATAGTCATGAATGTAGGAGGAGGAAATATTGCATTCATTGTCTTCGGAGGAAATATTGCATTCATAGTCGAAGACATCGTGATTTTGAGATTTGGCAATGAAAATGAGTGATGTTCAACACAGAGATCCCAATCCACGAAAGTGACCGATTAGGGCATTATTGATGAATGAGAGAGGGTTTATGAGCCCTAGCCTTGTAAACCCACATTGACGTAGGATGCAACAGGATAATTATAGGAAAAGGGGAAATGGAAGAGAGGAATAGAAATGAGGGGGAAAAGAGGGAGAGAACATAGAAATAAGAAAGAAATATCAATTATTCATTCATTCAAAAATTGTAATCGTGCTGATTACATCGCATAACCCCCTTTATGTAGGGTTTCAAAAACATAACTAAGAGAAGAAATGATATAAAAGCTTTTAAATCATACTCTAATCGTGTTTCCTAAAATACAAATCAAAATAGGAAACTAAATGATTAAAATCCCTTTTAATACTCCACCAATTCTCCCCGATCGAGAGAACCCGACTCCGGCAAGATGGACTGCAACTTGTTAATCAAGAAGGTCGATCTTTTCTCTGACCAAATAATGGTACCATGCAGATGTCAACAACTGAGCTTGGAAAGTATTCCCAAGCAATTGAACTTACCAAGGAGGGGTGATCTTTCCTTTTTGACCAAATAACAGAACCAACTATATGATGACAATTGAAATAGAATATAAGTCCCAAACACTGAGTTGACGAATGCAGACAATCTTTCTTTTTGACCAAGGAGCGATAAGGAAGCCCAATGAGCGATAACATGCTCTAATCTTGTTTCCTAAAATACGAATCAAAATAGGAAATTAAGGGTTGTTCTCTTTATATTTCAATTTTGTGTTTTGAATTCATTTTGGATTTTGTGTTTTGAGTGTTCATTTTGAGATTGTTGCAAATGTGTTCTTTTTGACATTTTGAAAAATTATGGCTTGATTATAATTGAAAATACACAAAACGATAAATTTGTCGTTTTGTATTTTCTTTGTAAATTTTTAACTTATTTTCAAAAACGTGTTTTCAAAAATAGGAAAGAGAACGCGTTTCAACTGTTTTGGAAAATCGAAAACAGAAAACGGCTTGAAAATGATAAATAGAACATACCCTAAGTAATTAAAATCTCTTTTAATACTCCATCACGCACTTTTGTAGAGTAGTATGTATGTGTTCATAAACGAGTAAGCTAGAATGACTTGTGAAGAAAAAAATAAATTAAAATGAAAAATTTACAAGGACATCGACGTCTTTTTCTTAAAAGTATAAGGGTATCTATGAAATTCTGTTACTAGGGTTTTGAGTGAAGATGTAAAAGCCCAGTTCTCTTGCTCGTCGCATTTCCTTCACTTTTTCTCGAAAAAGTCTACATGTACATAATATATGTACATAATAGTGTCCATAATGTAATGTGGACAAAATTCTGTTGTTGATGTGAAAGTGTAAAATTTGAATTAATGGTTGGATCCAGAGCCGCGTGTAATTATAGACAACATTATGTATAGATTTATGTACATATAGCACTTCTCTTTTTTCTCTATCCGCTGTTGCTTGGGGGGTTCACAGGAACTCTGAAAACTACCGCCGGCAACCATGGGTAATGAAATAATCAATGCAATTCATATCCTATGAATTTTTAAATTTTAAATTAATTTTAAGGCTTACATGTTAATATTACCGCGAATTATGTAAATGTACAGGTATTTCACGGGATTCCATGCACGAGGCGTGTTACTGGAGGAAAGAAGAAGGCTTGGAGGAAGAATAAAATTAATGAATATGCTCTTATAACGTTATTTCTTATTTGTCATTCAGAGTTTGTTATTTTGAAAAACTATTTTGATCTTCGTTTTACTGATTTTTATTTGTTGTATATTCACAGATGGGATTTTGATGATTTCCTATAATAGTAGTTTCAATTGAAAATCTCCTGAACCTTGTTGGAACAAATCTATTCTATAATGCTTTCTTTGCCCGTTACTAATTCTATGTATTTTTGTTCTGAGTTCTTGATCCACTGTTCATCTCAAAATCGAGTCCCATTTGAACAACATTCTATCCGATCCAAGCAAATCTAAGAAATTTAAACGTGGATAAGTATAATGGTTTGTTATTGTCTTATTGCTGTGTCCATTGAGCTGCATGAGAATTTTTTTTTTGACAAACCTATCCTCTCTTTTCCAAGGTATGAGCTTGGTAGACAGCCAGCAAACACAAAGTTGTCAAGTAACAAGACAGTGCGTAGGGTGAGGGTTGGAGGAGGTAATGTGAAATGGGGCGCCTTGAGGTTGGACACAGGGAACTACTCTTGGGGTAGTGAGGCTGTGACCCGAAAGACTCGTATTCTCGATGTGGTTTATAATGCTTGGAACAATGAGTTGGTCAAACTTTGGTGAAGAGCGCAATTGTTCAGGTGGATGCTGCACCGTTTAAGCAGTGGTATCGTCAGCACTATGGAGTTGACATTGGTCGCAAGAAGAAGGCTGGCACCAAGAAGGAAGGACAGGCATTCATCTTTTACTTTGTTTAATGGTTTTTCCTTCATCTATGAAGATGTTATGCTTTCTGCGCTCGTGATTCTTTTGTGGCTCGACAATTGCATTTCATATGTGGTTAGTTTCTGTGTAGGTTCCCATATTGTCGATTAATATAAGAAGTGCAACAGACATTATATGTAAGCATAATAACGTTATGCAATCCATGAAGCATAATAAGAGTTTAGGGATTATGCAGTTTTTTTCTTTCTGGGAAGAGCCTTAGAAACTATTAACTGAGAATATATTTTGCTAAACAAAAGTAATCGAATCTCTAAGTAATTTTTGAAACAGGAGTCTGTTATCATCAATTACCTCAGTAGTGTTGCTGACACGCCGTAGTCGTCTCATATAAAATTTCGGAAGAGAAAACATCATTCTTTTTCTTTCTGATGTAGATAAATCCTTTTCGTTTTGTAGTTGTGTCGTATATAGTTTTGAAGAGAAACAGTAGTTGCAGCCATGAACGGACAATTGGAACAACCATGGCCATTACCATTACCATTCTGATTTGATCTAGTCAGCTCATTCTCAAGCAATTTAATCTTTATCATATATGAAAAATCAATCTAATAATCCACGAAATACTAACTTCGTTGAAGATAATGCCATCGGTGACTGATTGTGTGGTAGTCGACGTTGGATTGACTATGAGGATCCCGACTGTCATACTGAGTTTTTTCTTTTTTACTTTGTGTCCTCTCCAATCAAACACTCTCAAGATGAGATTATCTTTGGCTTTTGATCTTTAACTTCACAATTTTAACTTTTATCTTCTTTTTTTCTTCATGATCAGATGAATTTCATCGAGAGTTGGCCCATTATTACTATTCGAATATCCAATAATTGCATATTGAGATGGTGTCTATAGAATTTCAATTGAAGGATAAAACGTGAATGCAACTCTTTAAGTTAGAGTCCACTGGACAGCTTTTTATTGGCTGATTAGTTATTGTGCTTTCTCTCGATGGCTGTGATCATTAGTTATTGTGATTTCTCTATATGACCGTGATCATTAGTTATTGTGATTTCTCTATATGGCCGTGATCATTATAGTTGGCCCTTGTTACTCGTTTGGTTGGACTCAATTCTAACAACTTGGGAAGTGGATACAGGAAGACCATGTTTGTTAGTCAAGTACCCAAGTACATGTGGACAATAGCATGCACAGTTTATATTAATTGACACCATTAAATTACAAATGTACATTAAATTACCAAAAAAAATAATTTTTTTGTGATCACTTCTCAGCTTAAAACATTTTGCCTTATGCTCTGCAGCCTCTGCTTAGTATCAGTTCCTTCGTCATTTGTTTCTCTATTAACTATTAATATTCTATCATGCTTGAACGTATTTCCCTGATTATGATTTTTTTTTTAAAATATTTTGATTAGACATACTTTGGAGGGCAAAGCATGAAGAAACTTCAAAGGAAGAAAGGAAAAGGTGCTAGCGGGGCTTCCTAAATTTGTCTCTTAACTCAGAAAAGTCTCTCAAAATTGTTTTTATCTCTCTCTCTCTTTAAGAGCAAAGTTTGTTTGGACTTTTCATATTCAGTTGAAATTTTGAACTGTCATGTAATGAATTTTCTAGAAATATTATTCTTCTATTTCTCTGGGTAATATCATGACATAGTGCTGTTGTGCTAATAATTTTGCTCTAATTGTGCCGGTGGTTCTGAAGGAAACAGGCTTCCCTTAGCTTGAAGCAAAAAATAAAAAAGGGAAATTGTGGGTTTGACCTTTAAGGGTTACCCTACTTGACACAAGTTACTTCCCATCCCTGGTGCTAATGGTCAAAATATGGATGATTCTGCATATGGTAAGAAATTTTTATGGGTGTTCATCTTAAAAGAATTGTAATGGGATAATGTGGTACATAAATGCATGCTAGCAATTGCATTATTCAATATATAACACATATGGATTATGGTAGTATATATGTATCCACTGAAAACAAAAAATTTCCTAGTCGAGCTTCCTACCTTCCGAAAATATCAACTTGCATTGATACTCAAAATTCTCCAAGAAAATTATGCTATCTCCTGTCATTTCTGAGTAATACAGAGATATCCATGTCAGTTTGAGAAACCTCTATTTCAACTTTGAACTAACAGAATTAGGTGTGGCCCATATTTGTGTAGTAGGGACTTTCGTAATGGTAAAATGAATTCCCGTCTATTGTCTAGCCTAGTAGTGATAGCTTATAGAATAATGAAATCTATCAGCAACATGTAGTCCATATTGTCGTCAAAGTAACCAACAGCACCCTACAATACTGACTCTGTTACAACTTCATCCGTCTGAAAAGAACTGAATAACAAGAACATGAGCCGATATTTAGCATAAGCAACTTCATAGCAATTACATCTCAACTTTTTTGACCGGAGAATGTACAATGTGAATTACATGACTGTTGCCAAAAGCAAAAAAAAATGTTAATGTAAATATCGACTCCTATAAAATTGTTGACATAAATGCTACAGTATGAATCCATATAGATCAGTGAATGACCAGCTGTTTTGAAGCACTGAAAATTGAATATTTGAAGAATTATAAACTTGCCTAACCTCTATGGCCTTGGCCCAACTCTTTGAAACAATTCAACGAACTTCTGTAAAATACAAGAATCACAGTTTCTACTTGTAACATATTCAGGTTTCATAGCTGAATTCACCCCACAAATCAGCCTGTAACATGTAAGAAATCAGAGTCCGTAAGTTAAGAGACGTGAATGAGGGATTACACAGGATACCACTGTCAAAGTAAGCCAAGAGATTAAAAGCATGTTCGGTTAAACTTAAGAAAAACTAAAGTAACCTTTCAGTTACTTTTTGTTTGCAGATATCTTTGGATAACTTATGAATAAATCATTTAAAAGTAAACCTTTTAAGCGTAGCCAAACATGCTTAATAAACGAGCCAAACTAAGCCCCCACAGTAATTACCGAGACTTGTTACTGCATGCTATACCGTGATGCTCATTTAGGCAGCACACTTGCGTCCCCATATTTCTTTCTCAGCCTTTCTCTAACAAAGTCATTTCGAGCTTTGATCCGAGCTTGTTGAGGAGCAGCATTTACATGTGAAAGATACAAACCATATGCAAACAAGGAAGCTCCACCAAGGAAGTATGCCACTGTTATTGCCAGCTTCTTAGGCGTTGAGGGGAAGCACGATACCATCTGTACTTGTTTGGAAAGTAAATCTATTTGATAACACATAAGAGATAAAGGACTTTGCTACTTGTACATCCCGGTTGACATGACGTGTGAATTTTTCAGGAACATTTCAGTTTGTTTTTTAATTTAATTCCACAAAATTCACATCAGCGAGAGAAATTTCATCAGTCATCCTTTCTGTCAACCGGGATGTACAAGTAGCAAAATTCCAAGATAAAATATAGTCTTTCACATCTTGAACTATCCAAATGAAAACTCTTCTTTTGACAAAATCATTACATACAAAAGAGCAGTCAGCCAAAACTTTGACAAATCTTATGATTATAGCATTACTTATATAGCTACTAACCCTCTTTTAGCCTCCTTAGAAATATTTGTTAACAATTGAACATGAATAAAAAACAACAGACTTCCAAGAATTCGAACTTCTAAAATTTTTGGATTTATCAAAATCACAATCAAAACCAAAAATGTTTCCGTTTCTCTAACCTAAATTGGGCATCAAAACAAAATATTTAGCGAATCAATTGTCTTGCCTGCTGTACTTCAACAATATACTGAGTTGAATCGAAATGTGAAAAGCATCTAAACGCAAGGGGAATTTCATCAAACGCAATATATGCGATAAAATTCACAATAATAATCCTTAAACTATACAGGAATTCACATACATATAGCACTCAAATAATTGAAAAAAAAAAAAATCATGAAAATGGAATTAATTATACGTTACCGGTCTCTATTGCGGAATTCAATTTATTCCAGCAAATTAGAAATTGAGTTGCTTTTTGGAAGCCAAGCTGAGTTCATGTCCTCTTTGACTCTCTATATGGGTTTGGGGGAAGCCCATATCAGGCTCAGTAATTGTAAGAGCCCAGTATGCGGACGGGCCACTTTCCCGCGGTTCCATTTCATGGGGAAAAAAAACAAAAAAAAAGTAACTGTAGAAAATTAGAAATATTCGAGTCGACAATAATTGCTAATAACTAAAAGTAGTCAATTTATATAAAATTTTGTGTTTGTTGAACTTACAAAAATATGCATTTGATTGAGCAAATAAAAAATAAAAATCGATGGTTATTAATTATGGGCATTTTGACTGCGAAATTGAATAAACAGATCGACAGGTTTGAACCGATTTTCAATGAAGTTGCGTAACGTATTAATTTAGAGGGTAATGATTGCAGTGGACTCCACTGTCACGTAGATTGATACTTAACACCATTGATATTAAGATGGTATGATTCACTTTTTATTTGCTACTTTGATGAAGCAATGAGACATGGGAACAAGACACAAATGAATCACATGTCTGTTTGTGGACATGTATTTTACAAACTACACTTTCCAAGATGATAATACTGTTTGTCAATTTCTTCATAATGCTTTCCCTTTTAATGGGTGGGCACTATTTTCAAATTGGGGACTAGATTTTGCTTCAGGGAACTGGCAATTCATATATGCATGCAATCTTGTTGACCAAACATGATTTTTTGTCAACTTGCAAAAAAGTTAAATGAAACATTCAATATAAAGCATATAAATGACCTCTTTCTATTCTAATATAAAGATAATATATGGTGGTGTTTGAAGAAGAAAATTTATGTTGTATCGGGTTTTAATCATTTCATCTGAAAATCAATTGATATTCACTGAGGAAAAACTAAATCATTTTATAGCATTAGATCACCATTAACTGAATGACTCTCGATCACTAAGCTTAAGTGCAGCATTGTTGCTCCCCAACTATGTAAGTCCTGTTTGGTTTAGTTTAAAAACATATTTTCAGAAGATTTTTCTAAAAATCGATGAAATATGTGATTAAAAAATTGATAAAACGGTAGTGTTTGAATCTGCACTCCTATATACAAAAATTTCGTTGTTACTTATATTCATATATAAAAATTGTGCAACAGCTTTTGATTGGTTGTGTCAAAGAACAAAGATAGAACTTCAATAAATAAATTCATTAGCTTCTTCCCTTGAAAAGAACACTAACAAAGAAAAAAAAACATAAGCTGACGATGAATACAAAGTTTCACATATCGACTCCAAATTTATTGACAACAATGCTTGGCTTCATAAATTAATCTAGGAACCGAAAACAGTGGTGGATTCAGATTTCCATTGTCTAGCTTTCTCAAATCCATTAGTGCAATTCTCATAATCTTCAACAGTTTGGTCAATTTCTTCTTGACTGTTCATCACAAAAGGTCCAAACTGCACAACAGGTTCACCCAGTGGTTCACCTCCAACCAAAATGAATCTGAGTGACTTAGATGACTTATTCCATGCCTCGAGGCCATCGCCAGAGCCACCAAGAAGAAGAAGATGATGAGCTGTTATCGGCGAAGATCTTGAGTTTCCAAATATACCCTCCCCTTCCAATATGTACACAAATGCATTCCAAGATACTGGTATAGGTTGCTGAATATGAGACCCTGGATTGAGAGTGAAATCTAGGTACATAGTTGGGGTCCTAGTGTAAACTGGTGACTTCATTCCCAGTGCCTCTCCTGCTATTATCCTGACCTTGATCCCATCTTTTGCAGCTTCTGAAATGTCCTTGCTTGTTATTTCTTGATACCTTGGTTCGATCCTATTAGATAAAAGGCAAGCACGTGTTTAGTACATAGTATTTTTCGGATCTCTCCATCAATTGGTTATGAAATTGTGCATATATTAGGTTTTCATGTAAAAGTGAATAGCTTGAACTTTTAGACAAGAATTGTTACACTTACATTTTATCTTTGGAGGAGAGATTTATCCACAACTGCAAGCCCTTTTGAGTTCCCTGGCCAGCAGGCATTTCTGAGTGAACTATTCCTCTTCCAGCAGTCATCCATTGCAAATCACCAGCTTCTATTGTACCTTTGTGTCCCTCAAAGTCTTCATGTGTCACTGCTCCCTGTTAATAGGCAATTTCTTAATAAGAATCTACAAAATAATTAATCATCTCGTCTACGAATTAAAGTTGTGTATTTAGCACGTGCGAGTAGCATTATGTACATCTGAGCCGGCCAGATTTTACTGGTTTTTTATGTTTTTTCCTTTTCCCTGTAGAAGCTTGACCAAAAGTGAGGCGGCTGAACGCCATCTGGACATGATTATAGCATGTCAACAACATTATAATTGTTTTTTTGGAATAAAGAAAATATATGTTGTTCTCTTTAATCTGCATAATCACATCCAGTTGACTGTTTCTCCATAACCACCCCCACACAAAAAAGAATAAAAAATAAAAATAAAAATGATTGTTTAAGCTCGATAAGTTGCTTCAACTTCAAATATTAAATCCACTTGTCCAACTCGCTTTTTATCCGAACATAGGATTACTACTTGTTCGGCCCCAGGTTGTCTCATATTTTTTAAAAACTTTTCTATTTACTCAGCATTTTCAACTCTATATTCACGTAATAAAATATTGTACACGTAAATTTAAAAAATTTCTTTTCTTTTTAATCACATAATCTCAAAAAATTTATTATTCAAAAGAAAGTTTTTCCAAAAAAAAAAAACCATCAAACAAGGGCTCATGACAACAATTAATAAGCTATGTTTGGTGGTGATTAAAATCAGATTTTTATTAGATTTTGATAGAAGTTGGTTACATGTGTGGTTGAAAAGTTGTGAGACCTTAAAGTATGTGATTGAGATAAATTGTTGAGTTTGACTTAAATTAAAACCCACCAAATGGTTATCTTTTAAGGGTTTACACATTGGAAATATTTCATGAGTGGCCAAGAAATCAGTAATGTGGCTATACCTGCAACATGTAGGTGACTGTTTCAAATCCTGTGAAAGAAAAGAAGAAATAATCAAGTTAGCTGCACAATCAAATTAACTTAACCATGTTTATTAAGAGGGTGTTTGGTGTAGATTAAAATCAAATTTTAAGTAGATTGTGATAGAAGTTTTTTAAACGTACTGTTGAAAAGATGTGGGACCGTAAAATATGTGATTGATATTAATTGTTTGACTTTGACTTAAATTAAAATCAGATTAAAATCTAGCTCAAACAGGCCCTAAGTAAATCTAAATGGTTTATGACTCAAACCTCTATGTGGATGATCAGGAAATCCAGCAGGAGCAGACACTGTAAAAGCCAAAAAAAAAATTAGATTCACTGTAAGCAAGAACTGTAAGTCTGTAAGGTCATTTTGAGTCAAAGAAAACACAAAAACAAAGATACCCACCTGAAAATTCATCCAAAACAAGAAAAGGGTCAAAATATTTCAGCTCAAACCTGAAAAAAAATCCAAAAATCATAAAAATTTCCCTCTTATTACACCTTCATATATATGTTCAAAGGTTAAGATAATAAGCAGCTAAAAAAGTTATAAGCACGACTAATAAATAAGTACCTTCCAATGCTTCTTCTAACAGTAGCTCCAACTCCTTCACGTTGAGGCCGGGCCAGAAACTTTCTGACAACAGTACGAGGTTCTTTGATAACGATGGACATGTTTTGTCTTTGATATTTTTGTTTTTCTGGTTTTTTCCTTTGTTTCTTGAGTAAACCGAATATAAATATGGATGTTGGGATGAAATTTGAAGGATTTTTGTGGTGTTTATATAGGAAGAGAGGGGGATGGAAAATCAGAAAATTGTGAATGGTCAAATGGGGAAAGGGTGGGTACCCACACCGTAGTTTCCTTGAGATCCAGGCACTTTATCTTTGGACATGTAACGTCAGCATACGATCATGATGATGCTGCCAGCGTCTCCTTACCAAGCAATTCATTTTTACAGCTCGACAAATCATCTCTTCTTTAATAGAGAGACGTCATCACATTTACTCTCCACACATTACAACTTAAAATGTGTTTGGTGCGTATTAAAATAAGAGAATGCATTCTTTAAAGTGGTGGGATGGCCGGATGGAAAATATGTGGTTGAAAAAGAAAAAAAATATATTGATGTGATAGAAAATATTATTTTATTGAAAAATGTGTGGTTGAAAATGAGTAGAAAAATGAGAATAAAAAAAATAATGTGATTCAAACAGGGACTTAGTCTTTTCGTTTGATAAGAAGAGATGATATGTCAATGTGTTAAAATTATATTACGAACGGCAAATTCAATACAATATATCTCAACTCGATCGTTCGACTATATTAAACTTTGAAATTTAAGTAATTGCAGACATGTTACAAGTCGATCAAATTTACTATGTCTTGCATGATATGGATTAAAATCTGATTTTTAGTAGATTTGAATAGGGGTGGACGTAGACATTTCGAGTTAGAGGAGCACAATCAAACTTACAAAAAAGTTATGAGAAATTTTATATTCAAAAATTTACATCCCAAAAAAATCATACCTTATATAATTTTACATCCGAAAATTTTCATGGGATAATGACTTTTTCGGATGTAAAGTTCAAAAAAATTTGATGTCATATTTCATGTGAAATTTCTTAATTAAATGATGTAAATTATATTGAAAATTTTGTATCGTAAAAATAATAATACGGCATACTTTGATAAGCCGTAACATTTTCTACGTTTGACATTTTCGTGCACCATTAACTACGTAAAAAATTAGGTCATGAACACTTCAAAATGATATTATACTCTTGTTTGAGCCTCATTTTATCAAAAATTCATTTTTCAAAACTTATTTTCAATCATATTCTCTAATAAAATAATATTAAACGTTAATTAAAAAAATCTTCATTTTAACCACCCGTTATCCAAAAATCACTATTCAAAAATAATTTTTTTTAAAAAAAAATGGAGCTCAAACAAGGGCTAAGAATGCAATATTTTGATTTTGTTTGGAATTTCATAATGACTTTGGAAATTGAGACAAAAATATAGGAAAAAAATTAGCCCCAAAGTTGGGGCCTGGGGTCACGTGATCCCATGCCACCCTTGTGTCCGTCCTTGGATTTGAATAAGGGTCTGTTTGATTGCAAACGTGGAAAATGAGTGGAAAGAAAATGTTTTATATGGAATTGAATTGTCTATAAATTGTTTTACTGGAAATTGTAATTAATTATGTTTGACTGTTATAATTTTCCACCTGAAAAATGTTGAAAGATTGGTATCCGTTTGACTTTATTTTTATAGAAATTGTCCATTAAAGTGATAATTTTTTCAACCATTGAGTCTAGAATTTCTACAAATTGTCAAAAAAAATTATCATATTAAATATCATCCGCTTGCCTTTGTTTTGCATGGAAATTGTCAATAAAAGTTATATTTTTTTTATTATTGTGTTTATAATTTTTTCCATTGCAAAAAAAAAAACCTGGATTGATGGAAATTGATTTTCCACAAAACNAAAACCTGGATTGATGGAAATTGATTTTCCACAAAACCAAGGAAAATGTGAGCATGTGAGCCAAATCAATAAATTTTTTTCAATGAAAAAAAATATGTATCAAACAAGATAAAAGTGGAAGTTGAAATTTATTTTCCATTTTTCATGAAAAATAATAGCCTATCAAACAGGTCCTAAAAATTGATAAAAAGTAATTAAAAAATTGTAGGTTCATAAATGATTTGTGGGTCTATTTAGACTGACGTCATTCATACAAAAGCATGACAAAACGACAGTGATTGGCCAATGTAATCAAGTCAAATTAAATATTCGTGGGATGTACTAGACTAAACTTGAAAATTGCTGTATAATTTGTAATAAACGTGTGGGAATTTGACTTTTTCGAAGCCATAAATAATAGATACAGATGGATGCAATGCCATTAAGGATGTAAAATATGATTTAGGAATTACGAAACAATGATGCAATATTACGTAAAAGGAAAGCTAAAAATGTTAACACGGTTTGGCTATTTTTATCGATAGTCTTAGTTAAAGTTATATATACGTCGAGTATTGCTAAATATAATCTCAATAACTTCCTATCGCTAACCTTTTTCATTTAAGTTGAATAGATTTTATACTTAGAAATTTTTTTAGTCGTATAGGTTGAAAGTTGCTATCCAATATTAGTGTCGAATAGGCTTGTAAAAATAAAAATAAAAAGTTTTATCGAGCTATTTAACCTAAATTGCTTCAATGAAATCGTGATTCATTCAAATAAATCTTGAATATTTTTTATTTATTTTTTATTGCAAGGTTATAAAGAATGAAATTTGAGTCTAAAATTGGATTTTAATCTCAAGTCCGCAAGTGTAATCCTAGTGAACATCTCATCCCTCGTTCAAATTAAATTCGAAGTAAATCAACTATATTTTGGACAGTTAGTCAGAGTTGAACTATGAAATACTTTATAAGAGCATGAAAGTAATATTTGACCCTCCATTTATCCCCTTAATCTAAATATGAGAGAAAAGTAAGTTCTTGAAAATAAATGTTAATTATTATTTATGAACATAAATAGTAAAATGCATACTTGAATGCGAGTATTGAAATTACAACTAAATGCATAAATGAAGATAAATGACAAATACTGTATATGAATTAGCGTGAATATTAATTAAATTCGAATTAATATTAAGATGTGTGTGTGTGTGAGAGAGAGAGAGAGAGATTTGAGAATTAATTCTCAAATTAATTCTCATTATAAAATAATATTTTCCATCACATCAATAATTTTTTCTTCTTTTCCAACCACACATTTCCCATCATATCACTATTCAAAAATCAATTCTTCCCCCGCTCCCCCCCCCCCCAAAAAAAATCCCTACCAAACAAGCTCTATATGTGTGTGTGTGTGGATATTATCATTTATACTAAATGAATATAATTTAATTTCAATTAAGTGAAATTGAATGCTAATTATCATACATAGACGTAAATAATGAATTGCATTCTTGAATGTAAACGTTAATTAATTGAGAATTAATAATAAGCATATTGATGTGAATGTGAATGTAAAATTCGAATTAAAATTAATTAAATAAATTGAATGCTAATTAATTGAGAATTAATGATAGAGAATACATGTACGAACAAATATTTTGCAGTATTTATTACAATTTATAAATTAAATACGTATTAAAAACGAAAAGAAATATATTATTGTGATAATTAAATTGTAGTAGGGTTATAATTGTCCAATAAATGATTCTCTCTTGATATGATATTTAATATATTACTAGTCAAAAACGTGTATTACACGTCATTATGTAATACTTTACAAACCTGTAAAAATGATATTTGATACCAACTCGTTGAGATGAATTGATGAGTTTCAAACGAACTAAATAAAATAAAATTTAAGATAAGAATTTAAGGTAATAAAATTATACTTTCAAAACTTAATTTCTATGATTCAATTTTTTTTTATTTTTTATTTTTTGTGATGATGAAATACTACAAATGAACAATATTTTTATAATACATTCAATACATAAGAATTAATTGTTAATACATGAATTTAAACACCCATTAAAATTTCTTGATACACGAATAAAAATAAATTCATGTAGATTAAGATTCATCGAGTCTAAAAAATGTGAATATTAATTAATTGAGAATTAATTACACTAAATTAATATACGACAATGATTTTGTAGTATTTATCACATATTTTTCCATCACATCAATAATTTTTCCTTCTTTTTTAACCACATATTCTCTATCACGTCACTTCAAAAAAAAAAATGCATTCTCTCATTTTAATATGCACCAAACACATCATAAATATACTTGCCAACGTTGAACATGTGTTGCACGTTATTATGAAATGTTTTATAAGTGTTACAAAAATGATATTTAAATATGCATGAATGCCAATTAATTTAGAATTAATATCGGAGAATATAAATGCGACAATGAATGTTAAATAATTTATTTAATTTTCAATTAAATAAAAGTAGATGTTAATTATCACAATGCATTTTGAATGTGAAATTCTAATAAACTTATAATTAGAATTAATAACACTGAAATGTATAAATGAAGATAATTATTAATTAATTAAGAATTAACAATAGAGAACTCATACATTAACGAAAGCACATGTGTAGAATGAATCTATCAAATATACATGTACATAGTAGAGATAAAATCGTCCAAAAAATGATTCTCATTTGACGTGATATTTAATATATTATATATTAAATATATATTGAACAAGAAGTTTGTGATATTTATTATATTTTGTAAATTAAATATATATTAAAAAACGAAAAGTAAGATATTATTAAAATATTTTAAATTATAGTAAGACTAAAATCGTCAAAGATTCCCATTTAACGTGATATTTAAAATCGGACCTTCATAATTTTTGACCAAATTAGTCAAACTAAATTAAGCTGTCCAAGATTTTTTAAACACACAATCAGTCAAAAATAGACTAAACCTGTTTATAGTCTTCAATATCTCCTAAATCCCTTGAAAGCTGTACGTCCCAAATATTCTTAAAAGTAAAAAGGATAAAAAAAGAAAAACTCGACTAGAATCGTCAACCAACTAAGTTCATGTTTGTCTCTCATTATTTTAAACTTTTTTTTACATACTCATTTTTAATCACACATTAACACAATAAAAT